CCACTTAGATATCGAAACTGAGTCACTGTACCAAGGCCTTCGGATTTCAGGCAGTTACGAACTTCCAAGCGTGCTACATTGGTCTGTAACCTGTTAAATGCCCGATTACACGCCCAAAGTTACGATTGGAAATCGCCAGTTAATGCTCCTAAAATAGCTATAACGCGAGCCAAAACTGGCACAGTCGATTCTAACATTTCTGGGTGCAATTTCAATATTGGTAGTGCAGAATTAGAAACTCGAACTTGTCACTACTAAATCCAGTCTTTAAGCCAAGAGGAATTCTTTAACTGTAGGAACAAAAATGTTATTTATTATAAGCTGAGAAACGACCGAAGGTATTGTGTTAACTGGTTTACAAGCAAGTCTTCGTTCAATGGCCTCTTCAAGGGAACTAGGAAGTTTGTTGCCATCGTAATGCTGATGCAAAAACTCGACTTCACCACGCTGATCGTCATCGATACGATTGCTCGTTACATACCTATCTGCATAATCTGTTTTAATAATGATGAATGGAAAATTCTACAATAAAATGAAGTCCAAGTGTTTTTGAAATTTTTAATACTAGCTATATATGGCAGTTTAGATGGCAAGCAATATAGTGTATACCATCGATAAAATAAGAAGCAAAAGCAATAAGAAGAAAAAAAATAGATAAAATTTGTCAAAAAAACATTTTTGGGCCTTTACTACTTTATATAAATGAATAAATTAATTATAATAATAATCACCCGGGTGACCATATCAATTAATTACCTGGTCGTAAAGTCCCTGTACATACAACAGAGCAACAAAATTCACTCTACGCAGCAAACCCTGACCAGGGTTTTTAGAAAAGTTCATGACACAAACTGGTCCGGAGTTCATCCAGCGCCCACAGTTCAAACCGTTGGACCATCGAGATCGTCAGATGTGTGTATGTTAGCAAGTTTATGCATAAATAATGATTGTTGCGATTCTTATCGAGCTGTAATAAGACAAAAACTTGCCCATGTCAGAATTACTCGTACCAAATTCAAGGCCTACTCGCTTTGTAGGCGAAGTTGAGGCCAACATTTGCTGAATTGTAGTAATTTATGTTTATCTATGGCGTGGTGGAACTTTGTGTTTAATTTTGTAAACTTTGTTCAAGATGTTTTCAACACTTCTAGTTTTTTTTTATGAGATGTTATTAACTTCTTTAATTTAAAGCATTATTATTAGTGTACAAGGTTACAGTTACAGTTTAAAATTATTTAACAAGTACATTATATTCTGCTCTCCAAGTTTTTTTAGAACTGAACAGCTGAATTCAGTGTGTTGTTATTGTGAGTCATTGAAACAGTTCAACGACATCAATATTATCATTACAAATGTAACGAACCTCCTTCGTATAAATCAGTAACAGTTAGTTACCGTTCATCACCCTTTTGACTGTTTTCATGATTTTTTGTAAATGGCCGTAAACTTCACACTTATTTTGCGATATTGTTTTACAACCATTTTCTTGCCAATTTCATTACGATGTTCCGGTTTTGAAGGATCTACCCTTTAAGGATTTACCCTTGTACTGGTGAAATTTCAGGCATATGGGATTTTTCAACTTACGTCTCAGCTAAGTAAAGCTAAGCTATCATAAAAAAACCTACTTTGCGACATTCTTTTACAACTATTTTATTGACATGTCTATTACTGTACTGTACAATAATTTCGGGATGGTGGTTCGTTGTAGGCGTGTCGAATGAGTCTGGTGATGAAACCGCACCTCACTTGTGCAAGTCTTATTGTGAAAGATGCATTGACGCTGAGCTCAAGTAGGCGTACCCCATGGACATTTGACGCCGCTTTTATTTAACGTGTTATTTGCACACAATTAGACGTCGTACGAACCAAACATTACCTTGTTATAATCCAGTACTACTGTACTATTGTTTAGATAGTACTTACTACAAAATGAACAGACTATCTAAGGTATATCAATACGTTAATATAATGCGGAGTTCTTCGTGAAAGCGTTGGTCCAGGGAAGTACTGCCACCTTAACCATTCTGACGCGGTAATGTTCCTTTTTGGAACGGCAAGGCTGCTGGTGAAATTACAGGTACATGATATGTCAACTTACGCCTCAGGGTGACAGGCGCAGTGACAGTGTTCATCAAATCTTTGTGATTTAAAGCTCTGACTGCAACTGCTATGAACAGGAGTGTCGCTTACTACCAGGCGCACGACTCGTTCGTCCCGTCACTTGTTATATAAAAAAAATCTAATTTGATTCTTTGACAAATAGTTTGCAATTTGTAGAGTTATTGAAGATTCCACGCCAATGCCGCAGGCCCCGTGTAAAACCACCAACAGTCGAGCGAGACCTGCCATTTTATCTTATGTGAGAGGTATTACAGACAAGATCGGAAGAGTCCTCGGGCGTGTATCTATCAAGACCTATTTCAAGCCCCTGAAGAAGATTTCCCAGTTCCTGAGACCCGTGAAATGTAACATCCCATTACAGGATGCAGGAGTTTACAAGCTTGACTGTGAGTGCGGTCTCTCTTATATTGGACAAACGAAGCGAAGTATTTGTACCCGCGTCAAAGAACATATAGCTGATGTCAAACACCGTCGCGTAAACAAGTCTGCAGTCTGCGAGCATGTCATGGATAAACCTATACATCAATGAAGTTTGACAAACCCCAGGTCCTTGCAAAAGAAGTCCGTTATCTACCCAGAATGCTGCGAGAGACCATTGAAATTAAAAAAACATCCTAATTTCAACAGGGAAGATAGTTTCTCCGTACCACCAGTTTGGGATCCAGTATGTCTTCTGATGAAAAATCCCAACAAACAGACATAAGACTGCAGTACTAATTAATATGTTTTAATTGATTCTAATTTCTATTATTAATTAATAATAAATTGAACTTCATAAAAATTCATTCAATAAAATAATTTGTAAAACTTAATGTAGCGTAAATTAGAATGTTTTCTTTTCTTTTTTTCTTTGTGAAAATAAGGTATTTAATTAATAACTATTGTAACTACAGTGAAAAAAAAATAGGGTTGTTGGCATTAACATTAGACATAACTGGTTGAAGACTGTACCACCTCAGTCAACCGTGACCATGGGACCTGTAAAGGGCCCGAAACGTCGCTTTGTTTGAAAAAACAAATATACGCGATTTAAATCCAGAAAAATAGTTTCATTTCCTATGTGTAACAATCACGAAAACCTAAGAACTCGATTTCTAGAGTTATAATTAATATTCTTGAGTTATAACTAATTTCGATGACATTTCTGCAAATTAACTAAAGATTTATCATCTTGTCTACGCATTCATGGAATGCGTAGAATAAATAAGTCGTTTATTTATTAAACGTCCATGTCGTGCAAGTGTATTGTAGTGTGTAAAGTCGATATCTAGCTCAATAAACATTTCGTCACAAGAGTAGATAAGAATTGTAGTATACTTACTTTTCTCAGAACTATTTTCGGAGTTCTCATTGATCTCATCGGGGCGGCAAGGGGACCGGTGATGTGCAGACAGTCAGATGTTCGCTTCCATTAAAATACGATTGTATGATAATTTTGTAGAGAACGTCACGTACATGAATTCGCAAAACTTTTTTATCTTTGTAACCTTCTTTACTTCCGTTGTAGACCGTGTTTAATTTATTATAAGTCAATAAAGGCATTGTACTCATATCCCACTCTAGCACGTTGGTGTAACAACTGCGTTGCAAGTTCGTGGCTTCGTGCTTCTGGCTAACGTAATAGCAATTTAAATGCAGTTCAACGTCCACAATGTATAGTTAATATCATATGATTAGATAACTGACATTAAAATTCGTCTCTACATTTAGAGCTAAATCTATCTATTAAGGAAATCAAAAATTTAGTAATTGCCCTCAATGGCTGCGATAACGTGTCCCTGTTTGATTAGTTCAGTCGACGCACTTAATCTGATATCATTGTGTACTCTATCTAGTAGATAAATGTATGAATAAAAGTGTATTTTCGCGTCAAGACTCGTAAACACAACGTCCACAGACGACCGGGCGTGAGGGCGTTGATCTTTCCCTACCGATATCTTACCTACCAGTACTTTACCGGCACTACATCGCCTAATTTGAATGATACCGGTTGTTCACTAATGACTATTTCTGATTTCTGCGCAAAATGACCAAATTCTCATTATACATGTAACGTTTAATGCCTTTTGTATTTTCACAGAGCCAAACCCAAGTTTAAGTCATTAAGTTTGGTCATCTACGAACAGTTTCATCATCGGTTTATGTAAGCAAGCCGATTATGTAAACTCACTTCGAGTGCACGGTCGAACAGCCCAAGTAGGTGTCTACAATAATTACCCAAACAAAGCTATAAAATTGAACCTAATAACATACGTAATTAGCTTTATAATTAATTTTTAGAATTCTTATCTCAAATGTTTGCTTAAATTTAAAACTATCGTAAAACTGTGACTTTTTCGTGAGCACGAGAAGCGAATAATAGCATAAGAATCATATCAGTACCGGGAAGCCAGCAGATGTTTACATTGACTCAGCGATCGAAAAAAGTAAAGAAACATGGCTTAGTCATATTGGCAAGGTGATTTCTTAAAACAAATGTCCACCTATTATGTATTATTGTACTGATATGCATCTCAACATTATTAACAAACTATGATGTTTTATTTCTCGTTAAGGCAGCACGCGTCATTTTCCTGTTTATTTTTATTGTATCAGACAAATGAATCATCGTCAATAGCTTGAACTAATATATTAATTTCGTAAGCCGGGATTCCCTTACGTCATCAAATTTCCAGACATTGCATGAGGTATTCAAAAATCTTAGCGTATAAGGTAAAAATGAATGTATATATTTTTCATACTGTGTACTATTTTTCATGTAACGTAATAATAACGTGTCAATGATACAAACATTTCGCACAAAAACAAAGTGATTTTGTATTAAATACGCAATATTATATTATGCTAAGTTATAAGATATATATTCTTTGAACTTTGAGATCTTTTGTTTACTAGTTTACTTACATCTATCAGTGGGCAAGGAAAACAAAGTTTTAAAAAAATATCACGTTTAATTGCGTCGATGCAATTCGAAGGCACATACTGTTGGGTGAAGTACGCGCACTCCGTCAACGTAACGGTTCTATCACGATTCAATATTAATTGTCCATAATTATCATATTCAATGCAATCAAAGTTCATGTCCATAGAACAATCGTTTCAACTTATCACTTGAAATTAGGCGGCACTGATCAACAAATCGTAAGGCTGCAATATGGGCAGCTGATGGTGAAGGCGTGGGCGGTTTGCTCTCTCTTGGTGCACTTTCAAAAGCGCTAGATCCATAGCAGCACGGGCGTCTTCGAGTGGTGAATGTCCCGTGCTACCCCTTTGCACACATCGCCCAAGAAGTTCCGCCGAGAGAGCACGCAAAGACCGTCGCAGGGGGAAACCTCTCGCATGGGGATACAAGACACATGTGTCGACAACAGCGCTATGTAGAAATTTAAGCGCACGTAGGTCATTATCCAAAGCATGACCGATTAGGATGGTATCCGTACCAACAAATCCAAGTATGTCATTTTGTACATCTCGCAGCGTCTTAGTCGCGCGCGCCAAGTCGCGCGGCCTGATGCCCGAGAAACGAGTATTGTGATCGACGACAGGGGAACTTGGTTTCACTAGCGACCTGTATACAAGTCGGCCATCGGCGGCAATCACAGCAATACTTGCTAGTTCCAGTCCTGCCGTCGTGTAACACATCTCTGCATCGATGGCGTATACCCCGCCACGAGGCGAGCGTGCACGAACAAATCCTTCAAGAGGACCGTTCATACCGGGGCGAGTGCCGCTCCACACATGATTACGGGCCGTGGCGCATCCCCTGGAACCCACGAATGAGCTACAACAGGCATAGCGGCTATCGCTACTGACGCGACCCCAGTGATACAAACACGGCTCCTCCACCAAGTATTCACCTTCACGAGTCATTCTAAACATTTTATCACAGCGCACACACAAATGTTCGACGGCGTCTGCTTCTTCGTCACTATCAGATCGTGGAGTAGAACCCCACGAACCACGTCCACTATCACTTTGAGAACCTCCAGGCACAAACTCCGGCGCATTCACATCCCATGTCATCAACGGTGGAGGTCGGGGCCGAGGCGGTGGGTTTATGTACACCACAGCCTTCGAAGAATTCGGCTCCAATTCCAGCGGGTACCCCAAAGCCCACATACGCTTTGGTGATATTATGTGAGGGCGGAGTGCTTCCACTAGTTCTTCGGTCGAGAGCCTCTGCGGCGACGGCGACGGCGGCGAGGGCGGGGGGCGTCGTCGATCACGCGGCTTGCGCCGTCGTGCTGCGGCGCTGGTAGGGTCCTCCACGGTCGCGACGGTCTCTTGATAAAACCAATCATTCCATTGAGTATAAAAAGGCATCTTGCTTGTCGGGCTTGTATACACATAGAGTCGAGAAAGCGAGCGCGGAGCCGAAATGAGCGATACGTGCAATCGCGCGCGCGGGCGCTGTACTAATGGCGCCCTGGTGGGGCAACCCACGCTTTATACGTCACGTAGGTAGCGCGCGTTCGTTAACGGGACATGACAATCGACCGGCCTATTCTCATTTTTCTAAACAATAATAAAAGTTCTTTGTACAAAAACGTAAAGCACCCAACCCCGTGGTAGTTTGCATTCTAAGGAAGAATACAATTGAGTAGTATTTTATCCGCCAGTCCGCCACGAACAAATCACACGGGAGTGAAATTGAAACGTGTTGTTTACTCGGATCAGCTGATGCGCCGCGTGGTACTTTTGTTTATAAAACGTATAACCTACTCAGCAAATAATTGCGAGACACTGGCTATCGATTTATTCTGCTATTGTATTTATACTTGATCATCATCTAATTAATTAATTGTAGTGAATGGTAATTAACTAAGCAGTACTTATGTTTATCCATATGTATATTCCAGATATTTTATAGAGTAACTGCCGTTATCTAAGTGATCGTTAAGGTCTATTATTAGCTAATGTTTCATTATGTAATTGGCGTAGTAATTCGTTAGTTTGACAGGAACAGTAGGCGAAAGTTTGTTTTATCTCAATAATAACTGATATTTTTATGGATTGTAGTGAGCTGAGAAGGGCGAGCGGAAGTGAGGGAGGACGGCCGTTGCCCTGAGCATAGCATTCGCATAAATAAACTCTTGGATTTACAGCAACATTTGCCTTGAGAATACGTCACTTGAAGTTAACAAAGGTGCCCATGTTTGTGGTATTTAAGATTTATTCATATTAATATTATCAGGCATTGTCAATAGAGGTAGATAGTCAGAATACTGATATACCAACAATGAAAAGGACATCGGTGCTATTATTTGTAACTCATTTTGATGAAAAATACTACATGCTTTGCAGAGATAGAAACAATTGAAAAGATACGCATAATAATAATTTAAAAAAAAATTCAAATTCCGTCTTTAAGTTCACTGAAAGGGGATTTTTATATGACAGCAAATCTAACAATGTAAAATAAATGTTATTTAATTGAAAAATTCTTATATACTTACATATTTAATTCAATTTTATTTCATTATTTCTGTTTGCAATTTAATCAAATATAAGGCGATCTCCGTCTTATTTGCGATGTCTTGCAAAGTGTGTGATATTATTTTGTGTATCATCTATCTATGTAACCATTTTATGTAAACAATAGAGTATTGAATCGAATAACCTAAGTATTTTCCATAGGTCACTTATTGATGTTTGCGCGGCATTTTCTCGGTGCTCATTGTACGCTTTGTCCCATTATTTTACACAGAGATATAAAATTAATATAAAACGCAAAAAATATACCTAATTATGGTAAATTTTGACGTGATAAATCTTATTTTTTCACTACTCAAATTAAATTTCAATCAATGCTATAAACAATTTGAATTGTATGTTTTACAATCAAACGGGTTTTGTGCATTTTTGTGCCTATGTTAAGTAATTAATAAATATGAAAATACTATCTCAATCCCACGTTCAAAATGTTGAATCAACCGTTTGAATAATAATAAAGAACTATGTCGTATGAAGTAGAGAACAAAGAGTGCATCCAGCATATACGAGTGAAATACAAATTCTATGTAAGAAAAAAGTAACACCTGTTCCAAATGTTATTTGTTAAAATTAAAAAAGTTATGCACCTTTTCTTCTACGAATAGTAGAATTGTAAGTGAATTTATGTATTAGAGCATGCTATCACGCAGTGTGGGCTATCCACAACGGCACTGTGGCATCTCATGTGTGTGCGACATGTTTGTATACAGAAGTGCGTGTGGGCGCGGCTGGTCGCTGACACCGACGATAACCTTCGAATCGATGTCAGAAACGCGCATCGAGTCTGCATACGATACCGTGCTACTTCAACAGTACCAGTACACAGAAAAAAAATTCAAGAGTCAGTATGGACTGGCAGTGATAGAGCTGTTTTATTGAACATATGGAACATATCGACGTTCTTAAACTTAATTGTCGTAAGAGACATCCGACATTTTTTTTAATGCACCATTCTTTGTCACTTTTACTCCTCTATTCATATTTAGAATGTCGAAATCTCTTCAAGCATTTTAGTCTAAGAGATTACAGCTTTTTATAATAAAAAGGTTTTTTTTGTTATTGTTTACTGCTAATCCATATGTAAACATGCATTTATTAAGGGATTATTAAATATTATGGCTTATGAGTGAATAGCAAATTTACGGATTTAATTTCATTTAATATAAAAAAAAACGACCGCAAAGTTCGTTGAATTACATATATTTGCCAAGTTTTATTGGAATCGGTTACCGGAAAGCGCGCGAAACCGTATTCATCCCCTGGTTTCCCACTCTTAAAGGTGGAATATTTTCTTTAAATTGAAATGGGACGAATACTGAGGTACCCTCTTTCCAAGAAAAAAAGAATCATCAAAATCGGTTCCAAAATTGAACTGAAAAGAGTTATCGCGTAACATACATACAAAAAATAAACATATAGATGAATTGTGAACCTCCTCCTCTTTTAAGTCGGTTAATAAGATATTAAAAACCGCTTATAGGGGTTGTAGATCTCGTTTCTATATTTCTTCTTTTCAATATTTTCTTCAATACCACTCATTTACATTGAAGAAAATATTCCTCCTTTAAAGGTGGGAAACAGGGGGATGAATCCCTTTTCGCGCACTTTCCGGTAATCGATTTCAATAAAACTTGGAAAATAGATGTAATTCTACGAACTTTTGAGGTCGGTTTTTTTAGTAGCCGGTACTGAGATTATTTAGTTTCAGTTTTATTTTTATTTAGTTTAGTTTTATTGTTAAAAAAATCAGCGTTACTGACATTTTTCAAAGAAAAAAACTTTATTGTCCAATATTTCGAAAGTGACCAAAATGCAAATGCGTTAGTTATGACAAAGAGGGTAGAATTGACTTGTAACGACTTTAAGAATTTCGTGATTATGTCCACAGGAAATATTGGAAAAATAATAAAGTACTCTTGTACAAAAACCTGTAAGTATTATTAATGTTATACTACTTTAGTCTTTTTCACAAAATAATCTCAAACTAGTTTTTTTTATAATATCAAGTGACGAGACGAACACGTCGTGCGCCTGTTTAAGCGACACGCCTGTTCATATCAGTTGCAATGCCACTCAGAGCTTCAAATTGCAAAGATCTGAGGGACACTACCACTGCGCCCGTCACCCTGAGACAAAGGTTGACAAGTCCCATGTGCCTCTAATTTCACCAGCACTCTTACCCTTCAAAACTGGAACGCAGTAATGCTAACATTACTGTTTGGCGGCAGAAACAGGTCAGGTGGCAGTACTTCCCTGGACGAACTCTTTCACAAGGAGCTCTACTGCTACTAGTATAATTATATATTGTTCATATATGATTACTATACTATAACATGAATTGGGTAAATTTTAAATCCCTCATTATATTCTATATGCATTTCATGGGGTTGCACCACTTTTGCGCTGATAGCCTCATTTTATATTTGACGACCGCGTTGACTGTTTACACCGTGGGCGCCGGAAGAGTTCCCGGTTCTATTTTCAGTAGGACTGATTTGGGAAATGAACTTGGGCGTCCTGGGTAGTGCCCCTGACTGGATTCCGTCGCTCTGATACTTATTAGTACAGGGAATTCCCTAGTTTGACAACAATAAATTAAAACGTTGTTTCGCACAACATTATTACATTCCTCATTGAATGAAATCGGATGAATTAATGAATATCATTACGCCGAATCATATATCAATATTCATAGAATGGATCTAAATTATTTCCATTGACTTTTTGTAGAACATGTTTGAGTGGGTCTTTACCATGTCGGTCTATAATATAACATTGGCAGTTACGCAAATTTACATATAGCGAATAGGATACAATACCAAACGCTATATATACATTCCGACGATAAAGTGACTCAACCAAAAATTTTGTTGTCTAGACAGTCGTGAACTCCTTGCTTTTTATTTTATTTTATTTGAAAAGGTACAGCAACAGATTACAGATCAGAATATACATTAACAAAACTATTATACATGAATGAATATAAACCTGCAATCCAATTATAGCTATACATAACACTTTACTAAAATCAGTAGACAATTGATACCTAGAAGAAATTATTTAAATATGCTTAACAAATAAAAAAAGAGAATAAAAGATATTAAAAAAAAATTCTTACGTAAAGAAATTAAGGTGATGAATTCGAATGTAGGAGTCTTCTAAAACTGTTATAACTACCATTATACAGACCATGATCAGAACAGATATCATTGTAATATCTACACATTCTGGATATCGGTCTATTACTCGAGACATTGTTCTGTTATGTTATTTTTCAATGTTCTTGCTATGTTTTTATTCTAGTATGACTTTTGATGAGATTGTGATTGTCAGTGAATGTGTGTTGAATTATACTTTTAATCGACTTCAAAAAAAGGAGGAGGTTATTTACGCGATAACTCCGGCGGCATTTGTGTACCGATTTGATCGGTAGTAGTCCCATTTAAATTTGAAGAAAATATTCCATCTCTAAGGCTGTCAAACTAGGAGAAGAATCCGATTTCGCACACTTTCCGGTAACCGATTTCAATAAAACGTGTCAAATAGATGTAATTCCGGGAACTTTTGAGGTCGGTTTTTATAGTACTCTGTACTGAGATTATGCTATTACGTGTCTCTCATATTTGTGCTCATTTCGTCGCCTTTTTCTCTCCATTCTGATACAGTCTACATCGTCCACTTCATAGATGTTTCACTAAACACCGCGTTAGTAGCAAATTTGATCATAGCAAGTATAGATTCCCCAATTCATTATATGAAAAACGGTATTTACAAAAAATCATTTCTTCAT